AAATTTCTGAGTAAATCGAAAAAAAAAAAAAAAAAACTGATTCTATTGTCATTTCGAATTATAAGGACTCGAATGTATTTTAGTTTAATAATAGAATATTACTTAACTTGGAAATAAGTATACCCATTTTCTACATCTCTTTTTATTATTATAATTATTATTATTATCATTTATTTTTTGTATTCCTTGTTCCTTTATTGTTGCTCTTATCATTAGCTCCATAGTACAAATTTAAATATACTTCAACTATAAACTATTTAAATGCATTTATTAAAATTGATTCTTTTATTTTTATTGTAAATCTGATATTTCTTTTCTATTTTTTATGGGACTCCACTAAGGTCTACTGGGTTTAGTCTCTTCAGCCTTCGTCACTCTTTGTTCGTTTGTATTTGGATACGATGCCGATCAACATATGTATCCAAAGCTCTATCGGCGACTGACAGTCCGCTTCAGTTCAACTTTGTAGCGCTAAATAAATTAATGTCCAATTTTCACTTCCATTATTAACCTCAAGATTAGCAAATGTAAATTCTGTAAATTAGCATATGTGGATTCTCGTTTTATATATTATTATCCAATATTATAGATTCTCGTAAATTGAATTTTATGCTAATTATCATATTTCATTTCGCTAAATATGAATCGATAAATCGATTATTATATTTGTTTGTTAGCGTATTTTGAATATTACGTTAGTGGTTCCGTATAAATCATTTTTACAGGCTAACTTCTAGTCGGACACTCTCAATTCAAGCATTTTTTACATAAATTTCATTTGGTCTTTTTTCCCATGACAAAGTTGAAAGAAAACATAATTACGAGCCTCGAACGTATCAAGCGCAATCAGGGCAGATTAAACGGGCTTTCAGTTGACAGCAACCCTCTGTCCGTCCCCTGCCCAGCATTTAGCCTTTGTTTAGTTGTGCATTGCAGCGGCTGGAAACCACCCCGCAATAGCGATGACATGCCCGGGGCGCAGACATTCGTCCGATCTGTCCGGCATATTGAAAATAAGTATGCAAGTGCCTGCAATCCCCTGGCAACCACTTGCAAATCTGTTCGTTGGTTTTTCTCTTGCTTCTCATTTTTTTGGTCGCTTTGCTCAGTAAACTCCATGGGGCTGAGTTGCCAGCCAGTCACCTGTGCATCGTGGCCCCGGGCATCGCCCAATCTGAATTCATGAATATTTGATGCTTTGATAATGAAAGTGCCGACTTTTAGGCTGGCTGGAGGCTAACGGGGACAGAGATAACCGCATAATCCCCAGCCAAAACTCCAATGGTGGGTTGGTTGAGGCTGTATTTCTTATATAAGGAATATATTTATCATTGTGGCAGATACTATACGCTTGAATGGTATATAATACATGGAAACTCTTAATGAAAGTGCTTCTAGCTGAGCAACACGAGCTTCTCTCACTAACCATAGTTTCTCTGCATACTCTCAGGCGTCATCAAGAAATCGTCTTAAAATGCTCATGTCAAATATAGTAAGCTCTAAAGACCCTGTGGATAGTTTATTGGCCTCGTAATTATTTACAATGTGCCAAGGCGTACTAATTTCCTAATGTAAATATTGAATATTTAATATTCTAAGCAAGCCATAAGCTTTTTACTTGAATCATACTCCAGCTTTATAAATATA